TAGTTGCTACCAATTAAAAAAGGAATCAGACGATTGTATAAGGAACAGACCTCTTGAGACAAAGTCCCAAAAATGGGTGTTTTATTGGCGATGATTTACAATTGAAAATAAACAGAATGCCTCCAAGGGGCGCAAGCACACGAGTACTAAAAGAAGTGTTTAAATTTAAGCTAAAAAATTAAAATTACATATTCTTTGTTTGAGAGTGTTTGATTCCGGGCTTTTCTCTATGTCTTCTCTTCCTTTTCATATTCCCTTGATGATTTCCTCGTGACAAACCACTTGGAAACTGCTTGATTGCTTTATAACTACCCACTTTCTTTATGGTGGCTAACTTGTCGTGGAACTGTCATCTCTAATTGCTGCCATTACCCTTTGTCATTCAACCGCCTTCAAATGGGTTTCTTGAATCGTGAAATGTGACAAGATTACTCAATAACTGCTTCAATAATTGCTATTCTGGATAACTATAATATTTTATGTTTGTTAAGATCCTGGGCGATTCGAAGGTTTGGACGAGAACGGGGTTATTGCTCTGGGCGACCGTAAGGCACTCCATTCGCTCAGATTCTGAGCGTCTTGCAAGTTTGGGTGATGATGTTACTGTATTCGTGGGTTTCCACTGTATTCATCAATAATCCTGTTTGGACCTTTATCCTGAACTCCCTAATTGGGCTTCACTCTTTGAGCTATTTGATTTGGGCTGCACTTTTAATGTGTCAACAGTAAGTCAAATAAATATTAAGTTATTGTGATATTGTTGTTATATAATTATTTTTTTTACGTTTAGATATTTTATAAAATTTATTTGACTTTAGGTTCAATCTCTCTCTTCCAACCACCTACAAGAATTATATAAGATTTTAATGTACATGGTGTGACAACGTAATTAGTAGTTACATGAAGCTTGTCCTTCAAATCGGAAGATTGATGTTTTCTGGCATCAAATGTTCAACCCACTAATCGTTCTTGTAGCGATAAGTTGTTGTGCTTATTGATGCTAGTTTCTTCTGTTAAAGGCTCTGTCTTAAATAATTCCCCTTTTGAACGGGATTTTATTTTCACCTCTTTTTTTCCCCACTCACTTTCCTAATATGCGGATGAATTATATTGATGATAATGTATGATTTCATATATTTATATGAGTAATAGTTCGAATAATAAAAATATGTGCAATAAATATATCAATGTCAGTATGTCACAGAGATAACGAAAAGACGTACCTTGGCATATTGATGAGTGTGGTTCATTCATTATTTTATTGCCTCTTAAAATTGTTATTTTGATTGTCTTTAAGAAGTTTTTAGAACATTTTAATATGTGTTTTAATGTTGTTTTATATGTTAGGTGAATTGGTGTTAATGATGCAAAACTAGGAGAAAAAAGTGATTTTGGCATGAATCAAGGAGAAGTTGATGTTGATTTGGTGAAACTTGATCATTGGAGGCTAAATTGAAAGAAAGAAGTGAATAACAACGAAAAAAGTGAAATCCAAAGTTTGAGGTCTCAATTGCAACTTTTTAATACTTGATTTGGACCACATAACGATAAGGGTCCGTTTGATTGCAAGAATGAAATTTTGGTGGAAAGAAAACGAATTTCAAGGAATTGAATTTACTAGAACTTGTTTTACTGTGAATTGTCAATTAAATGTGTTTGATTAGTATAATTTTTTACCTGAAAAATGTTGAAATTTTGGATCTGTAGGTGTTTGTTTGGCTTTATTTTTCATGAAAATTATCAATTAAATGGATAATATTTTTACAATTATGGATAGAATTTATTTCCAAAAAAAAAAAAGGTTGGAAAAACTCATTTTCTCACCAAAACCAAAGGAATAAATTTTCCACTAAGTCAAGGAAAAGAAGGTCACATGGGGTGGGGGTGGGGGGTGGGGAGAAAATCAATTCCATAGAAATTTTATGCCATCAAACAAGCAAAAAGTTGGAAAATGCAAAATTTTTCCCATTTTCCATGGAAAATTTCTCTATCAAACATGGGCTAATTGAAAATTGCTAGGTCCCGGATGCAATTAGAAGTGAAAAGGGAGTGAAATGTGATCAAAATATTTTTACAAATGGATTCTCAACCAAACAGTATGTTCTAGATTTTTAGCTAGATATTGAGACTTATTTTTTATATACTCTGTTTGAGCCACATTAATGTAAGAATAAGAATGAAAAATATAGTCATTACGGGTCCCGCACAAGAGATAAAAAGTCAAATATGGTGACTTGATGTGATGAATAACGATCATATTTTTCATTTTGATTGGCAAATAATGGGAAACAAATGGGGGCATAGTAAATGTTTGAATTGGAGAAAGTTATCCACTGTAAAGTTGTATCCATTTTAATTATCATTCTAATACACTTTGAATTATCTCAATCGAATGTCAAGAAAAAAAGCTATGATTAAAATACTGAAAAATGCGTAGTGTTGAACTTTTTGCACAGAAGTCGGTGCTGCAGCAACACTATTGCTGAATATCAATAGCATTGCGGTGCCGCATGGTGTTGAGGCACTACTAGATGAGAAAAAGAGTTTTGAATATTTTGTTCTCTTTTTAAAACCCAATTCAACCCTAACTCACTCTTCCAAAATTTCTTGATGATATAAATTGAACCCTAAAAACCACTTGGGAAATTCATCGAGTCAAGGATTTGAAGGGGACAAGATTCAAAAAATCAAGAAGGCCGCAAAGGCAACTTGACAAAAATAATTCATTCAACCGTTCAAAAAATAGGTTTATCTTCTCTTCATGCTATTTGTCTCGTATCATAAATTAAAATATTTTTCTAGTGAAGATATGATTTTATTTTATTTTAGTTATTTATATGAAATTTTCCCTTTTGCTTATTTATGTTATTGCTTTAATGCTTTCAATTAATTAGCTACTAATTGAATGATTAAAAGTTAGTCAATTTCGACGCTCCAGAGATGAGAATTTAGGCGCCATCACAACAATACCCCAACCTAGTTTTTATAGGTTTCAAAAAGAAAATATAATTCATTTGAAGCTTATTCCACATAAGAACCATGAACTTGATAATTCTTTGATTTAAATTCGGAATAGAGATATTGTAATTGAATTTTAGGAATAATTTTTACTTGGCGGGGAGAGTATAATTATATTAGGGTTTTTGTTTATAAACATGAAAAATTGTTTAGAAATAACTAGGTTTTTGAAAATCAAATTTGATAATTAGGTGGAATCATAAGCTTAGGCTTTCTCATCTTGATTATTATTCTAACTTACATTTAATTGTTGAATTTGTCACCACATTCATCACATCAACTTATTTAAAACTGTTGATTCAAAATTTTATTCTTCTAGATAAAATAAGAGCTACACAATTATAGTACTTGATGTGGATTCCATTCGTATTTGATCTTTATATTACAAAACCTGACATCGTACATTTTCGGTATAATTTACTTTATATAAAATGCATAACACATATGCACATATTTTCGTTATTCTAAATGTTATTATTTCATTTATGATGAAATCACATACTATCACCCATCATAACTTTTCCATAAAGTAGGAAATGGAAAAAATGAGGTGAAAGTTGGATCCCATTCAAAATGAGAATATAGGGCGGAGCTTCTAACAGAAGAAACCAGGCCCAATGTGCACAAGAAGTTATGGCTACAAGAATGTAGTGGGTTGAAAGTTTGAAACTAGAAAATGTCAATCCTCCAAATTAATTGACAAGGTTCATGCAGTCAGCTAATTACATTATCATATAATGTACATAAAATCATATTACAATTCTTGTTATTGGTTGGAAGAGAGAAATTGACCAGATGTCTTGAACTGCATACATCAAAAGTAATAATACAAAGAATGTATGGATGTAGATTTCGTAGTTAATTTTTCTATCAATTGTATGTGTTCTGTTTAGAGTTCGTTAGTTGTTATCCATTACCATTCAATGATTCTGCTTAGTTGATTTTGATGTCTTAATTCTGATCTTTTCTTGAGTTGGGGTTTGGCGTTCGTGCTAGATTTTTGTTTGACCAAATCCATTCATGCTCATCGACATTCAAATAAGTCGACGTTTCTTTTGTTTTCTGTTTATAGTTTAGGATCCCGGAAGCCTAAAATTATTAATAGATATCCGTGTTAGGTATGAATTGAATCTTTTGATATACTGTTGTCTATTTGATTTTTTTCATTGTTATTTGTGGTCTATATGTCTTAGAAGGTGATAGACATGAAACTTGTTACAATCCAAATTTTACTAGTAAAAAATCATAAGTTGAATTGTCAAAGTCAAAGTCAAATAGGGACTAAAATGAAATGAATTATTTTATTAGGTTTTATTTTACAAATTGAAAATATTTTGAGGGTTTGAGATGGATAAAAATTAAAGTTGGGAATTATTTTTCTACTTGTGGAAGTTGAGTATCTAAATGCTTTTCTATAAGAAGGTTGGAGGATTTAAATGCAAAAAAAAAAAAAAGAAAAAGAAAAAAGGGTTAAGAGTACATGTGGCAAGTAATTAACCCATATCACATTTTTTTTATGATATACACACACAAGAGAGAGAGACTTGGACGAGAAGTTTGCAGAAGCCAGAAAAATCGAGAAAGAGAAGAAAAAGAAGAGAAAAGAAAAAGAAAAAGGAAGAAAAGAAGAAGAAAAGGAAGAAAAAGGGGGGGGGGGGGGGGGGTAAAATTTTGGTTCCAATTTTTATTTTTTTTTTTTTATAAATTTATCTTTACTGAATTTTTTTTTTAAATCAAACCAAACAAGGGTTAAATAATATACATTGGCATAAACCCACATGGCTTGAGAAATTTAAAAAGGAAAAAATAAGTCAGCCATAATATTGAAAGGAGGGAGAGGGGGGGGGGGGGGGGGAGAAAACTTGAGTTCCATTATTCAATTTCTTGATTTCTTAGAGAGGAAAAGAGGTAAATGTTTTATTGTATAATTTATATTAAACTTTCTAGGTTTCTAAGTAGTTGGGTTAATTTGATAGTTTAATTTTCAAATTAGTGGGAAGAGTATGATTTCAAGCCGGTCTTTTTGATTTATGAAAGATTTTTATATCAAGGTAAGAAATAGTAATTTTGGTAAGCCCTAGAGTTTTTAATTGAGTTCTTGAATAGGTATAATTAGTGGAAATGATAGTGATGATGAAATGTTCACTTGAAAGTATGATTTTATGGAATAAGGTGTAAATTTAATTGGTTGAATTATGATTATTAGTTTTACTAGATTGGAAGATGGGATAATTATTTTTATGATTAGAATAAAGGTTATTGTGATGAATTAGCTATTTAAAAAAAATGGACTAGAAAGTGGAATTAGCTTGAAGTGATTAAAAGAAATAGGGGAAAATTATTCAAGTATCGAAAAGTCAAGTTTTAGTGTTTGACTATTAATATTAAGAGATACTTATTATGAGATTTGTTAAATTAGTTATTTTATATCGTATTTCAGGTGATGACGCGAAAATTTGGCAAGGGTGGTCAATTTACCAGATTGCTATCCACTGATATGTGAGTGGATAAAGTTTATTTTCAGAATTAAGTATTCATTAAATTTAAGTTTCTTATTTTATAAAGTTATGTTTATTACATGATCTTTAGAATAAAGTGGATTTATAATAAGTTGTTTTTAAAGTTTGATTCAGTTCAATTAAATCATTTCATTAGCATATTTTATTCGTATTACATATTTCAGTATAGTTAAAGTTATTTTTTAAAAACCACCAGAAAGTACCCAGGTGATTTTACCATTATCTGCACTGGTGTGAATGTGTTTCCACAGTGTATGGTCAGTTATGGTGATTTTACCTACTCTGCACTATTGTGAATGTGTTTCCATAGTGTATGAACAGATTATCAGAGGTCTTTGGGACCCACTCTCGTACACACATAGATTTTGGGACATATACTAGGGTGATTAGCTTTTGGGGCAGTTTTACGTACGTATGACCAGATTATCCAAATATCATATTTGAATGGCTTTGCCTTGTATATGGAGGTTACTCTGTACATGAGTAAGGCTATTCATTGGGTACATTTTGGTGTGATTTTTCAGTATTTCTACAGTTTATAAAATTTCGGATTATAGAATTCAGTTTATTCAGTTCTCAGAATAAAGCTTCTAGCTTACAGTATTGAGCAACATCAATATTTCACAGATTTTCATGGATGTCAGATTATTTATATTCGTTATATTTTATAATTATTGAACTAGAATAAAGAACAAAGAATTTTATGATTCAATCATGTTTTATTTTTAAAAGTTTTATTAGTTTTCAGAATTTCTCAAAGTTTTAATAGAGCAAGAATTTTCAGAAAATATGTATAAATGAGAAAAGTTTACTTATTTGCAAATTATCCACTCATTGAACCTTAAACTCATACATTTTTTCACTTTTTTCTTTATCAGATAGATAGCAGCCAAATTGAGTAGCTTTGGAGCTTGTCGAATCACCGAATTGAGCCACGTGTCATAGATTGTATGACATCCTTTATCAGATTATACAATATAAATTCTTTTGGGTACATGTAGCTTAATTCAGGAAAGTTTATGGGCTCATTAGATATTTGGTATCTTTAGTATATTTGAGGATTGTTGGTCCTAAAGCAAGTAAATGTTGATTTGTCAGTATTTTATTTGAATAGTTTGTATTTTGAAGTACTGTAGTACCCTATTCATATTATAGGTATTGATTTGAGGAAAATTAGTTATTGTTCAGGTGGTTTTAGTTCATATTTCTGGGAAAATTCTGTCAAAATTCTTTTAAAATTTCATCACAGTCAAATAAGTCAAAGTTGCCTTGGTGGTAGGTCCGACACTTAGTTGGTATCTACCATCAGCGCACGACACATGTCGAGTCCACTAAGGTGATTCGGGACGGGTCGTGTCAAAAGTTGTGTAATGTTTATTACTATTATTCTTTGTTTTATTTTGTTCATTTTTTTCCTTTTTTTTCTTTGACAGTATTTAAAACACTTTCCTTTTGCATGGAACATCTGCACTTTGGACAAGCTTTTCGTTTTACATACGATTAACTATATACTTTGCTACTGTCCAATTTATGTGGAGCAGTTTATAATCATAATGTATAATAGAGCGTGCACAATGAATCACTTAATATTTAACAAGAAATGTAAGCGTGGAAACGAATGAATGGAGATCAAGAAGGGATTTATTATTATTATTATTATTATTATTATTATTATTATTATTATTATTATTTTTTATCACTTCACATGGAGAACTAGGTGAAATTGGTAAGGGTTATTATTTAGCAAGTAATTTATGGGTTGCTGTTTTATTTTAATTTTTAAATCACTTCTCTAACTTATTTTACATTTTCAAGCACAGGCTCTTCCGTGGGCTTATGCAAGACTGTACAACAGTCAGTCGTCGAATCGTATCCAATTTAGTTGGTAATTGTGGTGAAACATGGACTATACTTGTACAGAGGGAATATGATGATCTATATCTACACCATGGGAAGTAGTGTTTATGCAATATTCACTCAAAGCTGGATGCCGTGTTGTATTTGAGTACCCAACATTTCTTGGAATGCACTATTTGTATATAATGCAGTGTCCATCAGGGTGTCCATCACTCTCACATGGAGGGGGACCCACTATAGATATTAAAAAAATGTATTTGATTGATTTAAATCATTAGCCTAATTAAATTCAAATCTACTAAGGTCCATAAAATTCGAATGCCCATCTCACTTTTTAAAAATAAATTACTAAATTCTTCTTTTTAATTAAATATAATGGAGTGAGTACCAAAATTAGCATGAATTCTCCATATAAATAGGCCCAATAGTCCATAAGATGGAACAAGAAGTGAAAGTGCAAAAGACAATTACAAAGTGCTGAAGCAATCCCAAAGTTGGAGGAAGAGAAGAAATTCTCTCAAATCTAAATCCCCTGAACTTGAAGAAGATCAAAATCTTCTTCTAATCAAACGGGTTCAAACCAAGTCCAAAAAGATCAAAGTTTTATTCAAATCAAATCAAATTCAAGTCCAAGTCCGACCCCCGAAATTCAAATGCCGAACAAGTCAAATCTTAACAAATCAAATTTTTAACAAATTCTCGAAAACTTGGATTTAAGCCATGTGGCCTTTTGTGTTTAAACATTCAGATTATTAATCAGAGGATTTTTGCAATTTTGCAATTATAAAAAGATTAACATCACTTGTATTTCTTACAATACAATTTGCAACGATTTCTGTATTTTAATACATGAAATTAATCGAACAAATTTCTTGGCATGTCCAGTGGGACATTCTTGTCTTCTCATCTTTTAATATCAGAATCTTCAAGTTTTAACCACTACATCAGCAATGGCAAACAAAAAGTAAAAAAAAAAAAAAAACTATCACTTATCTTGAAGAGACATTTGCCAAACTCTTCCATGCGACTAGGGCCCAAATAAAAACTGGAAAAACTCAACTGGTCCCACAACTAAAGAAATTCTTCAATAAAGATAAAATGAAAATTGCTTTCGAAAAGTCAAACTCTCATTTGACAGAAAAGACCATGAATTCGGCGAAAAGCTCTCATTTAAGCTTTGTCTCTAGTGGCAAATCCTTGTCTGGATCTTATCGTGCTACTTTTTTTGCAAAGATGAGGAGATTATTCTTCATCTGAAGAATTACTTGAGCCAATAATAGTCATTGAGGTGACATTCCGCTCAAATGACCGAATTCAACAAATTGCTTTAATCATTAAAAAATTAACAATCACTAGAAGACAAATATGTATAGATTGTTGCACTCATGCATAAGCTAGAGTTGCAAAATCCGTCGGTTCAAGAAGATCAAGAAAATTCGGGATCTTCCAACGCTAGATCTAGAAGTCCAAGAGCGCCAACACAGGTAAGATATGCATGATCGAACAGTTGCTTAAAGTATGTCGTGTGACACCACTAAACTCTCTGTTGGCTCCTTATCTGTCCAATAACTTCAAAATATGATTTCGAACACTACTCGTACCCAGTATGATGATTCATTGCAATCTTCATTGGTGTATGGCAATAAACACAGGTAAACCCAAAATCAAAGCCAAAGTTCAAACCTAATAAATGACAACTCCAAAGTAGAGGTCATGTGACTATGAAAGAACTTGAAGAAAATGAGTATCCATTCTCAGATTTTGAAGTTTTTGGAACTTTGGATAAGCTCTTTGAACAGAAGCTAATTGAATTTCCAGTGCCAAAAAGACCCAAGGAAGTTGGTAAGATCGATCATCCTAAGTATTGTAAATTTCACAAAATCATTAGCCACCCAGTGGAAAAATGTTTCGTCTTGAATGATCTTATTGTTTGCCTTGGACAAAGGAAATAAGATCAAACTTGAAATTGGAGAAAATACAACAGTGCCTGCTTGATGGTTTCATTTGGATAATTTGATCCAATTTCCATTGCAGAGAAGGAACAGACATTTCCTAATATATACGATGCTCGTAAATCCTTGATTGTGGAGTTTAGACCTCAACTTCCAAAAGGTGCTATCCCAGTGGAGTCTGAGGTAGATGGATAAATCACTATCAATTACCTCTATCTAGGGACTGTTGGATCAAATGCACCCAATCGTCCAACTTTCTATGAAATTATGATAGGTGACTTGAATATTTGGGATTCTGACTTAGAGTCTAAAAATGAGATCGGTGAGGGCTTGGCAACCTTTATAAGCAAGAAAGAGAAATACAAAATGTCAAACAAAATAGGTAAAATATCACCTTCTATACCTCTTGTGGATCAAAGCTGGAGGAATTGGGTACAAAAATTCAATCTAATAAAGAAGAAACACTAGAAGAAGATTAGGGGACAGGGGACATGGACCCTTGTAAAAAGATGTCGTCAAAATGCTCCACAACTCCCAAGTTCTAGTGTTTATGATGAGAAATCGAGAACAAGGAACAACCAAAGAAGGTCTAAATCCAAGTAAAGAGTATTCACTAAATCAACGTGGGTAGAAGCTGTTTCACGCGTTTCTCCTATACTACCAACCTTGAGTGATTATTTTTTCGAGAGTTTTTTCGATAAGGAATGTTATACCTCCAATGTTATCAATGTGGAGAAGAAAAATGAGATGAAGAACGTATCACGATAGAGTTCTATACAGAAGAAAACTATCTTATGACTCAACAACATTCCTGCCAATGCGAGTATAGCAAAGTCTCTTAGTCTTCCCTTCGATGATTGAATGGCTTTGGTTGCGACATTAATTGATCCGGAAGAATTTGAAGGCAAAGTCTTAGAACATATTTGATCCACAACCCGACAAGACTGTATGGCCGCCATAACATTTGATGATGAAGACTTACAACTAGGTTCTCATTTACATAATATACAACTATATGTTAGTAGATATATTCAAGAATACAGAATAAATTGCATAATGATCGATTGTAGATTTGTTGTGAACATTAAGCCGGTCAAGATGATAAAGAAAATTGGAATTAATGTTGGTGATCTGTTCAGGAGTAAGATCACGATTCAAGTCATTATTGCTAAGACATCACACGAGTTACTCCTTAGACGTGTTTCGCTATATAAAACTAGAGTAGTACCTTCAACTTGGCACCAATACTTCAAATTTAGTCGAGATGTAGAAGTTAAATATGTGGTAGCTGAGTCCAAATCATTCTTTGAAGAAAAATCTCATTTCGTTGGTGCCAAATTTTACATGGAAGATGAAGATTGTAATTCGACAGGGTTGACCATGTTCAGATTCAAAATCAAAGGAGTTGTAGACGATTATGATACATCTGATGTTGCTCAATCTCATCAGTTTATCAAAGGTAAATTAAAATTTAGGATTATCTAAAGGTGATAAACCTCAAATAGAATCAATCGATGTTGAGGTAATGAGAAAAGAGTTAACTCTTCCAATAACTAGCATTCTGAAATTGCTTATGCTCCATCAACTCATGGCGGTCCTAAAAGAACATAAATCTACATCGAAAGTTTTGACGTCCATTCCAAACATATCAAGCTTTGTATTTCTAACTCGTCCAAACGAAATATGTTGGGTATCGAAGGAGCTGCTGAATCAAAATAGACTTTCTAAGGACTTTACAATCCTCAAGTTAAAAAATTGTTTGAAAATGTTGGATTTGGGAAAGGAGAGCCTCGAAAATTAGGTGATCTTGATGTTGTCATTTCGAGTGGGTGCATCTCTCTGGTTCTGATGGAACCCCAATGTCTCAACCCAGGTATGGTTTGGGAAATGATCCAAATCCACCGAGAAAAATTAAGGTCAAGAAGGTTTTCTCAAACCCCATCTTGATTTAAATTCATGAAGTTGCAGAAGAGAAATTAAAATAGCCGAGACTTTCAGTGTTCGATCGAATTGAAAATGAGACTGCCAGAGTTTCAGTGTTCAAAATGTTAAAAAGAAAACCCTCTCCAGTGGTTGACATAAAAGGTAAATCTTCTATCTTTCAAAGGTTAAGTGAGGATCATTCTTCTTCTACCCAAATTGATAAGAATGCACAAGCTTCTCAGAAGCCATCCTAATGACAATCTGCATTTTCTGAACTTGGAATTAAAACTTCTAATCCAAGTCCGAAGCCTCAATGATCAAGAAGACGAAAACATAAATTTTTTTCCATCCCTAAATAATAATGAAGATAAGGATGAAGTCTCTGTTAATCATATAGCTTTAGAAAAGCTCCGGACTTAGAATTCGAGTATGAAAATTCTATTACGACAGACAAACTTAAACTAGCCCCCACCTACATTTGAAGAAGGGGGACAAGCTACTGTGGATGACTTGAAACAATTAAACTTAGGGACTGAAGAAGACCCAAGAACTGTATTTGTGAGCGACTTCTTTAGTAAAAAAGAGGAATTTGAGTACATTCATTTGCTTCAAGAATACAAAGACGTGTTTGCATGGTCTTATAAGGAAATGTCGTGGTTGAATCTAAAGGTTGTAGTACATCATCTTACTGTAAGACATGAAGTTCGACCAATAAGGCAACCTCAAAGAAGATTTCGATCAGAATTGATTCCTCAGATTGAAGCAGGAGTCAACAAACATATTTAAGCTGGATTTTTGCACGAAGTTAAATACCGAATGTGGATTGCGAATAAATTTGTGTTGACTTTTGGGATCTGAATCAAGTATGTTTAAGGGATGACTTTTCACTTTCGATAACAGATTTGATGGTGGATACATCTACCGGATATGTAGTCTTATATTTCATGGACGGGTTTTTTGGATACCACCAAATATGGATGAATTCGAAAGACGAGGAACTTATATCCTTCCGTACTCCTAAGGGGCATATATTATTGTAAAGTTATGCCTTTAAGATTAAAAAATGCATGGGCAACGTACCAACAGCAATGTAAAAGATCTTTGATGGCATGCTGCATAAGAACATGGAATGCTATTTAGATGATCTTATTGTTAAAACAAAGAGACGTGACGATCATTTACAAGATTTACGAGATGTTTCAAAAGACTTCGAAGACATCAACTGAAGATGAATCTGCTGAAGTGTACATTCGGTGTCACCTCTAGAAAATTTCTTGGCTTCATTGTTCGACACCGGTGCATTGAGATAGATCAATCAAAAATTGATACCAAAAGTAACATGTTAGAGCCAAGAAACGTGCATGAGTTGAAAAATCTTCAAAGAAACTTGC